ATTTCAACTTGCTAATATGGCAGCGGCGTGGCGGCAGAGAGGGCCGGGCGCTGCAGAAGATGGCAAGTGGAATGGGGTATGGTGACTACAAAGAGCGCCTGGCCACTTCCATACTCACATATTTATTTTGCTGCGCTGCAGCTAAAGGCGCTATTTGCACAGCGAGCCCCCCACCAGCGCCACACATGCACAAACACACACACACACACACACACACACACACACACAGAAAAAGCCGCTTAAAAATATGCATTGAAGCAAGCACAAAAAGCAAAGCAAAAGCAACAAAAAAAAAAACTGTTGCCATAGAATACGACGACTAGAGTAGAACACAAAATAATAAAACAAAAAAAAAAAAGAACAGATAAAAAAAGTTTCATTTCTTGGCATAGAACAAAAAAGCACGCAAAACGGACGAGCAGAAAGCAGAAAACAGAAGGGAGAACTTACCTATACCACGCTCAAACTGTGTGTGACATGCAATTCACACACGCACACATACACAAATACACGCAGCAAACAAACAGAACTGCATAGCACAAACGCTGGCAGCGCTGCTTGCAGTGACAGTGGCAATGCCAAAGGCAAAGGCAAAGGCAAACTGCATATTCGAGGCCTACATCAACATTTTTCTGCTTTGCAACAAGGGCGCGCTCCCAGAGAGAGCGCACTCAACAAACACTGTTACAGCAGGCGAGAGAGTGAACAGTAGAGGCAGCGAGAGCGAGAGAGCGCGCGCCCACTGTAAGGTGCTGCGGTGCTACGGTGCTTGCATGTATTAGTGCTTGAGCGCCAGCGCAGCGGCTGCTGTGCATGTTGTTTGGCGGCTGGTCGCGGCGACGTCGACTGCAGTTTCCCAGTTTGTGTTGTGCTCTCGTGGCCATAGCTATGGCTTCTGTTGCTCTTGCTGTCGCTGCCCCTAGCTCTGCCGTTTCCGCTGCCGCCGTCGCTGTTGCCGCGTAGCTTTCGGACGTTTACATGGATTATGTGGGTATGTAGTGCGGCGCAGCGTTGTGCCGAGACCGAGACCGAGAGACGACCAAGCAAGCACAATAACACAATGAACTCCAAATGTGGGCAGAGGCCGGGCTCAGCTTTTGAATGGTGTGGAGTGAATGAGAGGGATGCATGGAGGCCGCCGCTGGGCTGCCTTTTGTGTTTTGTTTTTGTACACTGCTTGGCGTCTCTATATATATATATATATACGTTTTTTTTTTTTTACTTCTTTCTTCTTTTCCACTCTTTTCCCTCTTTATTTTTCCCATTGCCCGCCTTTGTTTTGTTACTTCATGGCGTTCTTTGGCGCTGTGCAAGTTGGAAAAATGGCTTTTCATAGTGAAAAATGAAATGTGGCTCTGTGATTGTGTGCTCTTGTTGTTGTTCTTGCTGTTGCTGTAGCCTTTGTATTTTGTATATGAAATATAATAACTCATCTGGCTGATGCGTTACACTGGAGCGCACCTCCAGCCTGAGGTAATTGCAAACGCAAAATGGCGGCCAATAACTGCTGACGCTCAGCTACCCACAGCAGCTGCTCTAGCGCCACCTGGCGCCAACCACAATGTGCTCGATTATAATTTTGTACTCAAAATATCCACAAATTGACTTTTCGATTGGACTGGAATTCCGTCTGTGCATATTGAATGGCAATTTGTGGGATATTATCTATATTATCTTTGAAATTGGCACAAATGGAAAGTTTTAACAATTTAATTCAAAGCACATTCACATACATAATCATGTAAGAAGGTCTTCCAAAAGAGGAGATGATTTATGATCCTCGAATATATTTGGTTTGCTAGGCATCTAAATACCTTCCTGATAAGTGCAACAATGTTTCTTGAAAAACTGTATCTATTGCAATCAAGATACTATTCGGGCACGATCCATACACGACACGATCCACAACTCCTGCCATACGATCCTTATGCGCCCTACACACAGTCCACACGCAATCCACAAGCTTTTTACACACATACAGTCCAGAAACACAATCCACAAAGTATTTGCAAGCTTATTTTAATACATTTGTTTGTTAATCTGCACAAACAAATCAAATAGGTTCCACAAGATTATCTTATGGGTTTAATTAGAAAAGTCTTTTCATGGTTTTCAATAGAAAAGTTGTTAACTTTCTTAAATTAAGTTTCATCAACAAACAACAAATGCACAAATACTTAAGTTAATATCTTTAAGCTAAAGCCCAAAGCTTAAGTTTTTACGTTTCCCAATTAAATGTATTTAACGCTGTAATCAATATTCTAGCAATTTCTAATCATGGAAATTCCATAAAATTGAAGCTATCAGCGGCAAGTTTAAGCTTGTCATGGCTCGAACAGGGCGATTAAAATAAGTTGCTTAGTTGTTGTTGTTGTTGTTGTTGTTGTTGTTGCACAGCTCAAACAAGCCATGAAAATGCCAAACATTGCATGACGTTGTCAGCGATAAAACAACGCCTAGGGTGCCACACACAGGCACACACACACACACATGCACACACACATAATAATTGTGTGTGGTTGGTCAGGTTTTTACTTTTTTTTTTTTTGCTGCTGCAGCTTTTGTTGTTGTTGCTACACACTTTTTCTTTGCCGCAACAGCAATTTACTGCATTTTTCATTTACCATGCGAACGGCACACACACTCGCACATGCCACACGCTGCACGCTGCACGCTGCAGTGAAAATTTCGCAGTCAAGTTGGCGTCGCCGCTGAAGCAGACGAAGTTTGCATGACGCCGCACTTTATTTCATTTTATTTAGCGCGAGTTTTTTTTTCTACTTCTCTTTTTTTTTGCTTCTTGTGGCAGTGAAATTGAAACGAGGCACAGGGAAAGTGGGCGCGGCGGGTGCCAGAGGCGCGCAGCCAGCCAGCGAACGGGCGTACGGGGCGTATGCGCAATATATCATTGCAGCAGAGAAGCAGAAAAAAAAACTGTGTTATGCCGACAATGCACCGCGTTGCACTCACCATACACCATGCACCATGCACCATGTGGCAGGCAACGACGACGGCGGCGGCGGTAGGTGGTTTTTGGGGTGGCAAAGCTTTTGCACTTGTGCCCAAGTGTTTTGCTGCTCGACTGTGTCTTTGGGCTTTGGCTTCTTAGTCGAGTGTCTTGCTGTTAAGCTGGTCGCCTCGCCGCCTGCCGCACGCAGTTGTAGTTGCAGCAACGCCTCTTTGTCGTATCTGTTTTATCTACTTAGGACGCGCCTCTACATTCGCCCATCCATCCCAGCCATCCAACCATCAGGCTGCCCGATTATGACTGTCTTTGCACACAACAACTTGCACTTGATATGCTTTTTGTCGCATGCCATCTCTACTCGGCCCCTGCCCCTGCCACACGCTCTCTTAATGTGTGCCCCGAACGTGACTATTTGTATAATGTGTCTGAGCCAGCGCTCTTCAGAGTCCACAGTCCACAGTTTCCTGTCGGGGCACAAGACAATATCAAAATATAATCGATACAACTTGAATATTGTATTCTCAACTGACAATATATAGATTTATCACATGCGTTCCACACAACAAAATCTATCAATTATGTGTGTTATACTATCGATAAACTGATATCGATTAGTAATCATCAAACCACATAATATAATCTGCAACTTATTAAAGCGAAATAGACATGTTCAGAATGGGATCCACATATAATAGAGCAGTAAGAGTCGAGTTAATTCTCTAGTTCTTCTTTTCATCTAAGTCAAACATATTTTATGAAATACATTGATTTAGTCATGCAAATGTACGCTTCACGGAGTTAACATATAATCCACACAGAATCCACATACAATCCACGTAGAATCCACGTGTCACTTGTTCTGGAATTAAATATGCAATTTTGCAGAACTGTTAGCCCAAATTTTTATAAACTCTCGTAGGACTAGTCTTAAAGCCCTTAAATTCATTTAAGTCCAAAATATATAGAATCCACAAAGTATCAACACTTTATTTAAGTATATTTAGGCATACAATTCATATGGAGAGGACGTAGTATCCACATTCCATTTAGGTATTTTTTAAACATACAAGCATATCATCGACCTGTGATTAATTTATATAATTAGCTTTGTAGCCAGTATCTCATATAGGATCCACATAGAAAACACATTTCATGTATGACCTTAAAATGTATTATCGGTTATATTTGTTAATCACAAATTACACAAACATTATATTTAAGTACAAGTACAAGGGACATATATAATCCACATATCATATTAGCGTGTTTATCAAACAAAATACACATAGAATCCACATGCGATGTAACTCACTTAGAGTTCACACCTAATTTTCCCTAATGACACTTTGATGAAGCTGAAAGCATATTTCCACATACAATCCACATGGGATCCACATTGGTATTTTAACAAGTCTGAATCAAGTTTGAAATTGTTTGATTATAGATTGATTGAGCTTCTTATTTCTCCTCTATATTTTCTTTATTTCATCCATTTTTAGCTAGTCGAATTCTTTGTATGCGCTGATTGCTGCGCGACTTTGAGCGCACGTTAATTGAATTTTAAATTTTTGTTGGTTGGATTTTGTATGTTGCCCGCTTAGAGACCCCGTTTGCAGATACGTAAAAAAAAAAAGCAGATACAGATACAGCTACGGATACAGCTGCAGCTATTTGGAGCTGTATGTATCTGATGTAGATATACAGCTAGACAGAGTTTACATAGGGGGGAGCTTCTGACAGTCTCTCAATATATTTTTTTTTTTAGCGCATGCAAATTTATGAAACACAACGAACGCTCAAATCCCCTCAGCTGATCAAAATTTATTTATTTGGGTCTAATGTTTTATGTAAGACACTTCAAAAAATAAAAAAGTAAAAAAGAAAAAGAACAGCAACAATAAATCGATTTATATTAAAAATTCACGGAAATCGTGAAAAAAAAGAGCAAAATAATAAAACGAAATTGAATTTTGTATTCGTCATTTTTCTTAATTTAAATTTGTATTTAATTTTTCTTGTATGTGCTTTGCAGGTCGCGATGATCTCTCGCCCTCGAGCAGCCTCAACGGCTACTCCGCCAACGAGGGCTGCGATGCGAAGAAGAGCAAGAAGGGCCCGGCGCCGCGGCTGCAGGAGGAGCTGTGCCTGGTCTGCGGCGACAGAGCCTCCGGCTATCATTACAACGCGCTCACCTGCGAGGGCTGCAAGGGCTTCTTTCGGCGCAGCGTGACCAAAAATGCGCACTATTGCTGCAAATTTGGGCGGGCCTGCGAGATGGACATGTACATGAGGCGCAAGTGCCAGGAGTGCCGGCTGAAGAAGTGCCTGGCCGTCGGCATGCGGCCGGAGTGCGTTGTGCCGGAGAACCAGTGCGCGATGAAGCGGCGCGAGAAGAAGGCCCAAAAGGAGAAGGACAAGGTCTCCAGTTCGCCCAGCTCCCAGCACAGCGCTGGCGGTGTCGGCGGTCCACTGCATGGCACCCATGACTACGTCAAGAAGGAGATACTCGACCTCATGACGTGCGAGGCACCACAGCATGCCACAATTCCGGTAGGTCCCATTGTACATTTGCACATTTCGATAACTCGATACTCATTTTTATCTCAATCGATAAATCAAATCCCTTTAACCAGCTACTACCTGATGATATTTTGGCCGAGTGTCAAGCGCGCAATATACCTCCATTAACGTTCAATCAATTGGCCGTTATATATAAATTAATTTGGTATCAGGATGGCTACGAGCAGCCATCCGAAGAGGATCTCAAGCGTATTATGGTAAGTAGCATGTCAATATATCTAAATATATATATATATAGTATTTCGTAACTTGTTCCCTCAAACAACATATAAATCTGCCAAATAGTTTGATAGTCCCTAAATATAACAATTCACTTCAAAATTAGGCAAATAGGTTCATGGAAAAATTGAACAAAACTTGCAAATAATTTTATTTAATATGGGTATTCCCTAAATATACTATAACTCAATATACAAATTAAGCATTGCTGCGCAATTTCCTTTGAAAGGAAAATTAACAAAAATGTAGCAAATAGTTTGATTTAATATGGGTACTCCCTAAATATACTAGAATCTCAACTCAAAACTGACAAATATTTTCATGTAAAGTTTCAAAATAAATCATTAAGGGATATAAGGGTATTCCTTAAATAAATTGAGAGTCAACTTACAAATGATATTATGTAATATGGGCATTCCCTCAATATACTGAAAGTCAACACACACATAACTGTCAATTATCTTGATAATATATGGGTATTCCCTAAATATACTGAAATTCAATTTTTTTAATATTAATGCTAGTCCAGCAAATTGATTACAAATTGAAACGAAATCTCCAATTTATATTTTTTCTTCCCTCTCAATCCCACGTGTAGAGTCAACCGGATGAGAATGAGAGTCAGACGGATGTCAGCTTTCGACACATCACCGAGATTACCATACTCACGGTGCAGTTGATAGTGGAGTTTGCGAAAGGATTACCAGCGTTTACAAAGATACCCCAAGAGGATCAGATCACGTTACTCAAGGTGAGTATCGCATCGAATGGAATAAGCCAATCGATAAACGATACACGTATCGATAACGATAAATCGATATTATTTGCAGGCCTGCTCATCGGAAGTGATGATGTTGCGCATGGCCCGACGCTACGATCACAACTCCGACTCGATATTCTTTGCGAACAATCGATCGTACACACGCGACTCGTACAAGATGGCCGGAATGGCGGATAATATTGAGGATCTGCTGCATTTCTGCCGTCAAATGTTCTCAATGAAGGTGGACAATGTGGAATATGCGCTACTCACTGCCATTGTGATCTTCTCGGATCGGCCGGGCCTGGAGAAGGCCCAGCTGGTTGAGGCGATACAGAGCTATTACATCGACACGCTACGCATTTATATACTCAATCGCCATTGCGGCGACTCCATGAGTCTCGTCTTCTACGCCAAACTGCTCTCCATACTCACCGAGCTGCGCACGCTGGGCAATCAGAATGCCGAGATGTGTTTCTCGCTCAAGCTCAAGAATCGCAAGCTGCCCAAGTTTCTTGAAGAGATCTGGGACGTGCATGCCATACCGCCCTCGGTGCAATCGCATCTGCAGGCCCAGCAGGAGGAGCAGGAGCGTCGCGCCGAGCGCATGCGCGGCGCCGTCGGTGGCGCCATCACGGCTGGCCTCGATGCCGACTCGGCGTCCACATCCTCGCAAGCGGCCCTCGCGGCAGCGGCACAACAACAGCAACAGCATCAACAGCAACAGCACCAACAGCTCCATGCGCTGCCCGGCCATACGCTGCCGCCGCCGCCACCGCCAGGCAGCGGCGGCTCCGTCTCGGCCGTAAGCACCAGCAGCGATTACATCGGTGGCGGCGGTGCCATGGGACCCACCACAGCCGCAGCCAGCTCCAGCACCAGCATCACGGCAGCCGTTCCGGCGAGCTCCACAACAGCTGCTGTGGCCAATGGCGGCGGCGCCAATGTCAGCATGTATGCCAATACGCAAACGGCGATGGCCCTCATGGGCGTGCCCCTAAAATCGGAGCACTCGACGACCACCGCATAGCCCCTGCTGGAAGGCATGGGTATGGGCGTCGGTCTGGGCGTGGGCAGTCTACTGTTGGGCGGCGGCAGCATTATTGAATGAATTTCGGGCGGGGCGTGGCAGCTGTATACAACAAACACACACACACACACACACACACACAAACACAAACACACACAGACAGACAGACAGACAAGCCTGTACCGTTAGGCGCTTTTATAATGGATTCAACCGATTTGTATATAGCCGGAGAAACTGTAAAATTTTGCATATTCAAAATAGTTTGCTTTTCTACCCAGCTACATAAAAAAAAAAACGGCGTGTGGATTTAATAAACAAGTGCGTAACGGCACAGTTGCTTGATCTGATCTATATATACATATACATATATATATATATATATATATGTATTTCAAACAAGAATAAAAATCTGATGTAAAAGAAGAAGAAAGAAAAACAGAGCAAAACATTTTTGAGTAAGCGTAAAATGCAGTTATTTAGTGTTAAGCCTGCAAATATTAGACCTAAGGCATTATAAATATAAACAAAATTATTATAAAACACACACACACACATACAGACACATCTAAAATTATATAACAAACAAATTCTTAACAAAAACAGAGAATGCTTAAAACATAAAATATAACAATTTGAAAATTGAAAAAGAAAGTCAAGCTAAACAAGGGCATAGAATTTATGCAGTTAAATACAACAACAAAAAATACCTTAAAATATATATAAATATATATATATGCTATAATTAATAAAAATTGTATTAAATTTTCTTTTGTTAATTTCCAGCCCCGAAAAATCGGACTAAAGCAAATGATAATTTCTGCTAAATTCAATGCCTGTCAAACATGTCATGCAAAAGAAAATTAAAAACAAAAGAGAATAAAGATTGTTTATATTTTAAAAATATATAAAAACAAAAACCTAAACTTTATATATAATATTAAAAAAATAAAAATAAAAAAAAATGTGTATAATATGTAAAACTAACTGTACATCTAATTCAAAAGCAGCGAGTAAATCTGATTTAAACACCTTGAACTATAAACAAAATACTTATTAATTAAATGCTAATGACAGCAACTAAGTTTAAGTTACACAATTCGCAACCCAACTCTAAACAAAACTAAAACAAAACAAAAAACAACAAAGAAAAAAAAACAAAAAAAAAAACACGCAAAACTTGGACTGATTTTATAAATATTTTTTTAATCATATTAACTGAGTAAAAAACAACTGTATAAAATGCTAACAAATGTTTAACACAATGAAATGGCTAAAAACGACATTTTTTTTAATTATGCCCTCCTTATATAATTTTTTTTTTTTTTAATTAACACAAAAAATGAGAATTTACATTTATTAAGCGCCGTCGTTTTTTAACACAATTCACACAGTTACATTTTCTTTTTGATTTTCCCATAAAACAATTGGCGAAATTGTAAAAACTTTGTAAACAACAAGAAAGAAAAAGTGATTGGAGTTTTACTCAAAATTAAAAGGCATTAAAGGTATTAAATTACAATTTTTTTTAAATTAAATTCATTAAATGCACTTTTTGGCTGACAAAAAAAAACAACAACAAACATTTTCAATCACTTGGCACACACACATCCACGCACACACACACACACACCAAAAGACTTCAATATTAATTTATAAACTAAAAATTTTAATTCGAAAATTTATAAATACTTGTAAATTATATAGCACTTAAATTTTATTGAAAAAAAATACCATTTGGCATAATCAAAATTTTGTTTTTAAACAAAAAAAAAAAAAAAACAATCGTGCAAAATATACATTTTTGGCAATTTTTTTAAACTTATTTGGAATTTGTTTAATGCAATTTAATTAGTTTTTTGTATGCTTTTTTATCGTTTTTTGCTGCTTTTGCTTTTGAATTGTAAAAACGAAAAAAAGTAAACAATTGTTGGCCTTATTTTAACTTAAATCAAATTTATTCTAATTTTAGTAGCGATTTGTAAAATACGACAAAAAAAAAACACATAATAATAAACACAAACATAAAAAAAGAAAAAAACAAAAACTATGTAAAATTTAAACAAACCTTTTTTAATTGTGTATAAAAGTGGCAGAGAAATTTTTGAAATGTGCAATTTTTTAATTTTACTAAGTACTATACCTATTATAATTATTATGCTAATTAAATATATATACATATAATTTTCGCATACAGTACACACACACATACACATACACTGACACATACACATTTAAGTAAATTTAATTTATAAACATTGAATTTTTTATACAACAATTGAAAATAGCAAAGCAACATATATATATATATATATATATATATATATATATACATATATATATATATATATATATATATATATATATATACATATATATATATAAACAATTAGAACTTACATGGTTTAATTTCAATTATTTGTTATCTGCACAGTAAAAATGAAAGCAAAAACAAAAACACAGTGAATAATTTAATTATTATGCATATAATTAATACGAACTATTAGTGAAAGAAACAACCGAAAATAAAACTCACTCTTAAGTTTCTTTATTATAAATACACTTGATTTTAAATTTAAGCTTTTTTTAGTCTGCCTAACGCGCGTTTAATTATTATACATAATTTGTTTTGTAGTTTTACAATAATGTAAAAAAACAACAAGAAAAGTCTATCATAATATAAATAATTTTTACTATTTTACGTAAATACGAAAATGGAACAACAAAAACAAAACAAAAATATACACAATATACATGAAAATATGTTGAACAACAAAAAAAAAACCAAGCATAAACAGAAGTGTGTTTTTCTTTTTTATTTTATTATGATTTATTTGTAATTAATTAATTTGCTTGTGAAGAATTGGCAACAGTTTGAAGTTGAGCGGAAAGGCGATATGTAAGCAAAGACTCGTTAGAATAAGTATCGATAAATCGATAGGTCGATAAATAACATGCAGAATTTGAATGAAATTCGCATATGCGAAGCAAACGGCTGTGAAGTTGGCTTTTCACCGAATGTGTGTGGTAATAAGAAATTATAATGAAAACGATATTGGAAAAGCAAACTATGAAACTATTTTTTTTTTTCATTCGGAATATAAAAGAAATTTGAAAGAATGTGAGTGTGAAGTATTGCGAAACAGCTTGGCTGATGGGAAACGGAAACGGAAATTGACTTTGGTTATTTTTGTAGTAGTCCAAGTTTTAGTTTTGCCAATTGGAAAGCTAGAAAAACGAAAAAAGAAAAACAAACAGAAATGATTTTAAAATGGGTGAAACTTAAGAGTAGAGCCCAAGAAAAATAATTGAAACATAAGACGCGCTATAAAATAGCTTTAGATGATACAAAATGATTTGCTAAAAACGTTTTAAGTAATTCATAAATTCGAAATTCTAATATATATAATAAAGCATAATGCAAATATTGAAAAATAAAAAAACAAGAAAAAATTACTTAAACAGGCTGATGTCATGTCAAGTGTGAATAAAATATTAGTTAAGTAACCAAAAAAATTAAAACTAAAAATTAATAATAATTGAAATTAAACTCCTCGCGCCCTCGCTAAAACATTTCTTTCAACTTTGATAATACCACATAATGCACTTATAAAGCAAAACCCTAAGAAATTAATCCAAACAAATAAAAAGAACCTATACCTAAGCCAAACTGTAAATATGTATGTACGTACGTAACTCTCGCTCGATATGAAGCATTATGACAAGCAACAAATACGAAACATACAAAAAAAAGCAACCTGACAAAATTATAAAGATGAACATAAGGTATATAAGGTATAACAACTTGTTGAGATATCCATTCATATAATATGGCTAACAAAGCATAAGAAACGAAACGAAGCGAAACGAAACGAAACGAAAAGAAAAGAAGAGAAAAGTAACAAAAAAAAAAAAGAAAAAGCAAAACAAATCGTTATGTAGATTTTTGAAATTCATGAAAACGAAAAACGATAATGTATGTAAAACGAGAAGTTTATTTAATTTTTATGCACTGTTTTCTGTTACGTGTAACTTGTAACTTGTAACTTGTAACTTGTTTTGCCCATAACTACTTACATACCTAACTTAACCCTAGAAGATATGTCTATGATCCGAAAAAGAGGAACAAATCAATCTCTCCCCCATATTAAGCACACAGCTGAGCCTAAACCCTTTAAATGAAAGCAAAATTATACGAGAGTTTTGTGTTCAACTTGTAGATATTGATCCTGAATTGAAAACTACCTCAAACGAAACATTCAAATGAAACACGATTGAAAGGTTTTTGAGCATTAATAATAAACGTAACTACAAGCGAGACCTTAGCAGCAGCAGCTAACCACAAATATACATACATTTAAAGTACATACAACTTTGAACTTTGTTTTTCCTTCAAGTCTCTAACCAAAGCACAAAAAAACAAACACAAACAATGTCAAAAAAAAAGCAATTTAATTAACCCAACCTTCAGTTCGATAATATGATAACAAATAACTCCTGACGCCTTTTTAGAGGTACCTGTTTTGCAGCACTCGACGGTTAGCAGTTGGCAAATCATAAATCTAAATGAAAATCAATTTACACAAAGAAAAACAAAACACAATGCATATTTTTTCACAAATACAAGATTGGTCTCGGAAATATTGAACAAAATTTCTGTTGAGCCGATCTTGTGCGAAAATAACAATATTGCTTCTCCAATCACAAAATGTACGCTAAAACGAGTTAAGTTTTAAGTTGTGTAGTTTTCTCACTGCCAAAATTGACAAAACAAAAACAAAAAGGAAACAAAAAAAAAAAAAAACAAAACAAAATATAAAAATACAAATACTTAATCATACAGATTTACGTTATTATTAGAGATACAAAAATAGACAAAATGTCAATATGTCAAATTTCATTTGCAATGTGTAGCAATCAGTAATATACAAGTACATAATTATTTACGATATATAGAATTACCAAAAAAAAAAAAAAAAAGAAAAAGAAAACACAAGTTCAAGTCTACGATCGATGCGAGTAAAAACTAAATACATCTAAAATAACAAGAATATGCAGAAACAACAACGCACATTATTCGAATGCAGTTGGCTGGAGGAATCTATACTTATTTTGAAACTAGAAGAAGCTGACCCGGAAAAATACAACTTAAAACTGAATTGATGGCATTTTAGTGTTACGAACAAAAATAGAATATTAAAAATAATTATTGCAGTAACAAGAGATAATATATTCAATTACATATTCTAAATGAAAGGCAGACAAACAACACAAGATACGTAAATGCAAACGACAACTTGAAGGGATTTTTCAATTAAATAATAACAAAAAAAAAAACAAAAACAAAAACAAACAAAAACAGCATTTGATAAAACTCTTTTCCTTAAATTGTTATTCATATTGTTTGGCTCTGAAATTCTAAGATTGAATGCTTTTGATTTAAACGCTACACTGCCAAAAGAAAAACCCCTTAAGTTATAAATATCTTAGCTTCTATTGCAGAGAGATAGATTATAAATATTGAAGTGAATCTATGAAGATCTTTGGTTATTTTTGGCAAATTTTTGAGTTTTCTTTTGCTTTTTACGATTTTCGAAAGCCGTATTTAATTAAAATGAGAGAGATGTAGAGATTGTTAGAATTTAAACCAAACAAACAATTACAAAATGCATACTTAATTATTATTATGATTATATTATCGAGCATATTAAATATTTGGTACACTAACACAAGAGGTTAGCTTGTTGTTTATTGAGAACTTAAGGTGCATTGATCTATCTACATAGACATACTTATACTTATACTTGCCTATTCGTAAGTAAATCTATCAAACTGACATTTAATTTTGGAGTACTTTC